CTAAATACACAAAACAAGTCAAATGAAACCAATTAATTTGAAGAGATGAAATAAAGAAGCGAAGTGAAGGCACAGGCAGGTAAGGGACCCCAGGTCAGGAGGTGGGAGCGCTGAGACACCAGATGTGACAGAATTTCAAGGTGTGTGCGTGGCTGGGAGTGTGAGGGGTTGGCCTGTCTGGGCACAGTGTTTGCAGTGAGTAGTGGGGCTCTTTGAGGCAGGTGTGGGGGCGTCCGCATCAAAGCCCGGGACGCTGTGCCTTCCTCCCTCCTCTGCCCCTCCCTGCCCACCCCTCCTCCGTGGCTTAGTGTCCCCATCAGCGAGACCTGTTGCTGCACCAGTAGGCTGAGGGGACAGGAGATCTGGAATCCTGGTGTTAGCTTCTGCCACTGCTGGGGCAGGGGACTCAGGAAAAGCGATGCCCTGCTAGGTGCTGAGGAGGATGACAGTGTCAGGCAGGGCTGTAGAGGAGGAAGAGAAGACAAAGGGGGCAGAGATGTCACTGCCACGCCTCCTAGTCGAGGGGACCAGAAAAAGCCATGGGCAGGCAGGCAAGAGGACCTCGGCTGCAAAGGGAAGGGCTTGACTGGACCCCCGGCCTCAGTTTCCCCATCCCTGCAGCGAGGGGAGCTTCAGGCCTGTGCAGCCTGGCAGGGGGTGTGGCTGCAGGCGTCTTTACCTCTTCCTCCCAGGTCTGGGAGGTGCTGCCCCAGCCACCTCAATCCTGGCCCAGTCCGTCACCTCGGTTGGACCAGGCCGGAGACAGACCGGAGCCCGGAGGGCAGGTGGGTCGCACTCGGGGTGCTTCTGCTGGAGGGTGCCCAGCTCGTGGAGCAGCTGTCTCTGCTCCACACTGGATGTGCAGAGCTTGTTTGAAGATGCGATCTCTCCCTACCTTATAGATGGGGAATCCAGGGCTCAGAGACGGAGGGCTGTGCCCAGGGTCTCAACCTAAGAGTAGAAGCTGTGGAACCAACTGCAGGCCCACTTGATCCCCTGTGGTACCGATAGGACCTGGAATAGGGCCTAGCACATAGTAGGTACCCAATAAACACTTGCTGAGCTGGGTTGACCTGCAGACAACTGGACCGAAGCAGTGAGACTAAGCTAGGGCCTGGACTCCAGACTTGGCCCTTGGATGGGAGGTGGCCATAAGTACCCTGGGCTTCCTCAGTGCCAGGTGAGACCCTTTCCACTCTCATGGGGCCTTCGGTTTGTCATATTCCCACCTCAAAAAGGGGGAGACTGAGGCGTGGAGAATGGCTCGAGTCGCTTTGGTTTCACTCGGGGGCCAGCACTGAGCCACATCCCTAGTCCAGGCCAGCAGACCCAGGAATGGGGCCTGGCCCAGATCCTGTGGAGAAAGAGTCACCTGGAGAGCTCCAGCAGCCACTTCCCTCCCTGCTGGCACCCATAAGTTGTTGATGACAGACTTACTAGATGCCACGGAAGGACACAGTGTGCATCTCTGTCTGCACACTGGCCACATTCTGCTAAAATAGGGACAGGGCATTTATATCTGAGATTCAGCGCCCTCTTGTGGGGCCACACTGTCCCTGCCCCATAGTTTATTTCTGTCTCTCCATTTTGTGATTCCTCTTCCTGTAAGCAACCCCAGCACCCAAACCAGTCTGGACACGAAGTCACCCTACAGACTTAGTGGAAACCACACTCTACTCTGGAGTTTGTCTCAGATATCCAGGGAATTCTTTAGCTGCAGTAAGGATATTTTGCTGGGGATTTTTTTTTTAAACAGGGTCTCACTATGTAGTTCAGACTGGTTTTGAACTCACTATGTAGCCCAGGCTGACCTTAAATTTGTGGCGATCCTCCTGCCTCATCCTCCCAAATGCTGGGGTTATAAGTGTGCACCACAATGCCCAGCATGCATCCTTTTCAAAATAAAAACATTTTACTCTTGTCAGATTTTAAAATGCATGCTCAATAGATTAGAAGATGCAGAAACAACTCCAGTCGTACTCAGCTACCTCATCTTTGACAAAGGAACCAATCATCCTCAGTGGAGGAAGGATAGCCTCGTCAATAAACTCTGTTGACAAAACTGGATTTCAACCTGTCAAAGATTAAAACTAGACCCTTATCTTTCACCATGCACTAAATGAAAATCGAAGTGGATTAAAGATATAAATATTAAAACAGAAACACTAAACTTGTTGGAAGATAAGTTAGGTAAAACTCTCAAAGACAGTGGCATAGGAAAATACTTTATGAACAAATCCTCAGTAGCACAGGAACTAGCACAAAGAATCAACAACTGGGATCTCATCCTATTAAAAAGCTTCCGCACGGCAAGAGAAATCACATCACAAGCAGAGCTAAGAGACAACCTACAATGTGGGAAAATTTTTTACCAGCTGTTCCTCAGACAAAGGTCTACTATTTAGAATACATAAAGAACTCAAAAAAAAATCAATCCCCCTAAATATAAAGAACCAATTCAAAAAGTAGGCATCCGAAATGAACAGACACTTCTCAGGCAAACAAGTAAAAGGGCCGGGGATTTAGCTCATGTGGTGCCACTGCCTGACTCACAAGCACGAGGTCCAGAGTTGATCCCTGGTAAAACAAACAAACAAACAAATCCGACAAAAATTCAAACCAAAAAAACCAAAAATTCAAGTCAAACAAGTAAAAGCAGCAAATTAAATATATAAAAAATGTTCAACATCGCTAGTCATTCAAGAGATGCAGATGAAAACAACACTGAGATTTCACCTCACCCCACAAAGAATGGCTGCTATCAAGAAATCAACCAATAACAAATGCTGGCAGGGCTGTGGGGAGAAAGGAACCCTTCTCCACTACTGATGGGAGTGTGGACTGGTACAACCACTGTTATACCTCAAACAACTAGGATTAGAAGTCTCTTTTGACCCAGCTGTTCCTCTGCTGGGGATCTTCCCAAAAGAATTAAAAGAATCATACCACAGCTATATATGCTCATCCATGTTTATAGCGGCACAGGTTCTAATAGCTAAAACTTGGAAACAGCCCAATTGCCCACCAACTGGAGACTGGATAAAGAAGGTGTGGTTTTTCTATAAAATGGAATATTAGCCATAAAGAAAGAGAAATGAGACATTTATAGCTAAATGGATGCATATTAAGGCCATACTCTTAAGTGAAATAAATAAGACACACATATGTAAATACTGAATAGTTTCTCTGGTGTGAAAAACTGAAAGTGTAAATAAGGTTTACATTGTATAATTGATAACGTGAAATAGGAAGAAAAGGGCTAAAGGAGTAGGGAAAGTGGGAAGGGTAGAGGAAATAAGGAAAAAAGAAAAAATATGAGAAAAGAAAAAATGGAAACAACATCTTTGTAAATAGGGGAGGGGGAGGGGGTGAGGGGAGGGCAGGGTTATGGGAAAAAAGTAAGAACCAAGATACATCATATAAAGGCACAAGATCCCAGTGATGAATGTAACTGTTCTGTATACCTGGAAAGAGCCAATAACTTAATGAAAAAAAAAAAAAAGTATGCTCAGCTGGGTGTGATAACACACACCTCTAGTCCCAGCAATTGGGAGGCTGAGGCAGGACAATTGCCATGAGTTTGAGGCCAGCATGGGCAAAATAGTGAGTTCAAGTCCTGTATGAACTATAAAGTGAGACCATGTCTCAAAAAAAAAATTCTTTGTTTAAACAAACAAGGAAATAAATGAACAAATGGAAGCCGGGCGTGGTGTGGTGGCACATACTGTAATCCCAGCACTTGGGAGGCTGAGGCAGGAGGATTCCTGTATGTTCCAGACCAGCCTGGGCTATGTAGTGAGATCCAGGCCACTCTCAACTACATATTGAGACCCTGTCTCAAAAAAGCAAACAAACAAAGAAAGAAACAAACAAAAAAACAAATGCACTGGAACTTCAGGCCGTGGCTTGTGAGTTTTCTCTTTCCCCTGGGATAATTCTACTCCTGCCTGCCCTTTCAAGCTGTAGCATCATTTAAATATTTGCTGGCTGATATCCCCAGTGATTTATTGTTATTTTACTTTGCTCCACTGTATTCCTATGAGGTAGAGCTGTGTTTCCAGAATTCT